GTTACACAGTGACATGATAAGGGGAGACGTACAGGTGTTACATAGTGACATAATAAGGGGAGACGTACAGGTGTTACATAGTGACATGATAGAGAGAGACGTACAGGTGTTACACAGTGACATGATAGAGAGATGTACAGGTGTTACACAGTGACAGGACAGAGAGAGACATACAGGTGTCACACAGTGACAGGACAGAGAGAGACATACAGGTGTCACACAGTGACAGGACAGAGAGAGACATACAGGTGTCACACAGTGACAGGACAGAGAGAGACATACAGGTGTCACACAGTGACAGGACAGAGAGAGACATACAGGTGTCACACAGTGACAGGACAGAGAGAGACATACAGGTGTCACACAGTGACAGGACAGAGAGAGACATACAGGTGTCACACAGTGACAGGACAGAGAGAGACATACAGGTGTCACACAGTGACAGGACAGAGAGAGACATACAGGTGTCACACAGTGACAGGACAGAGAGAGTGTTACACAGTGACATAATAAGGAGAGACGTACAGATGTTACACAGTGACATAATAAGGAGAGATGTATAGGTGTTACACAGTGACATGATAAGGGGAGACAGGCAGAGGCCGGGAAGCTGGAGGGCACATGGAGCCAGGACACGCAGAACTTTGGACAATGGTGACAGATGGCTTCTAGTCTGAGTGGTGGGGCCCTGCACGCTCTGAGCAGAGCAGTGACCCGCTGGAACAGACAGTGACCAGGACTCTGTGGGACCCTTGGGAACTAGAAGCAGGGTGTGTCAACCTGGGACGTCGGCGCCAAGATGCGGGTGACCTGGCCTGAAGCAGGAGTGGCGGAGGCCGATGGAAGCAGTGACATCCTGGTTGTATTTGGAAAGGAGGACGACAGGGCTGCTTAGAGAACAGAGTGCAGGTGCGAGGAGAGAAAACAGGAAACAGCCCAGGCGAACTGCTCCTGTGTGTGTGTGTGCGTGTGTGTTGTGTGTGCACATGTGTTTGTGTGTGCGCGTGTGTGGGAGTATGTGTGTGTGCATGCGTGTGTCGGTTTGCTTGGTGAGGGTGAGCGTGGGCAGCATCACCAGCAGCTCATCCGAGTGTTCAGTCCGAGATGCCGTGGGAGTGGGTTCTGATGACATTGCAAGGAAAGGCACTTCCTGAGACTCAGGGCTCGTGATCTTTATTCCCATGGAATCAAACGCCTGGCCCCTTCCCCCGTCCTGCTGTGAAGAGTCCAGCCTGTCTCGGGCAGGGCCGGATTAGGCCACAGCCACTGTCTCTGCTCCACGGGAAAGCCCGTCCAGCCCAGCACGGTGGCTTAGCAGTGTTCCCGCTGCCGTGCATGGCGTGTGGGGTCTGCCGGGCCGGAGCCATGCAGCTGCTACACCACAGGGCTGTGGAGGCGCACAGGCGAGTGCGGTCACAGAGCCAGAGTGCAGGGAGCAGGAGCGAAGAGAGGGGCTTCACCGATGAGCCCTGCTTGCCCTCTCCAGCCAATTCTTTTTTCCAAGTTAGACTGACAGCAGCACCTTCCCCGCCTCACCCCGACTTCCCGTCATGCACCCCTTGTGCTTTCTTCCTGTTATGAACATTAATACACCGTCTAATTATGTTGATAACAGCTCCACCTCTGACAGGAAGGAGGGCAGCGTGCAAGGGCCCAGTCTGGTCGGTGGTGGGAGC